GAATTTTCTGGAGAACATTCCGTTTTTCTTCCATGGAATTCACCTAAAACCATTGATTCGAAACCATACATGGCTGGATTGATATAAGCAATCCAAACAAACCATGGATGCATTGAAGGAATTTGAATCATAAATGACGAGTATAAAATAATTGCTAATAATAGTATACCACTAATTGAAGTAGCTAATGTAATGACCGGTGAAATTATAGCAACAGTGTTGAAGAGCACTTTACATACAAACATGGTAACAATAAGAAACAATAAGAAGTTGAAAAAAGCACCAGCTTCAGCTCTTAATCCACTCAAGAAATATAAAACAATGGTAAAGAATGTCATAATAGCAATTTTCAATGGGAATTCTGTTAAAATATCAGCAATAGCTTCAGCACTTGGACTATAAAATCCATAAGAGCCGTGTCTTTGAATAATTGGACGATTCATGAAAGATACAACAATTTCTGCACTTGCTAAAAACATGAAAAACACTAAGGCAAAGAAAACCATACACCCTCTAGTGAAAGCACCAGAAGTTTCATCTGGAGTGTTATAACACATTGAAGCTATAAGGAAAGCCATAACAAGCGACATCACAAAATTCATAGTTGTGAATATCTTATCACCAATAATTCTTTGATAACCACGTTTTATCAATAACTTCAACTGTTGTGGGTAACTGATTGTGTATTGTGATGATTTCTTTTGGTATTTAGATTTTTCATGAGCCCATGACTCTTTAAACAATCTTTTTGTTTGACCACCATTCAAAGTTGATTTGTATGTGGCAATTTCATTTTGTAAATTTTTGAATTCTGGTGAGTTTAACCAATATTGCTCAAATTCTGATGGGGTATGTGGAACTTTATGTTCAAAACCAGCCCTTGGGAAACGACCTAATGGATCTGTCACTGAAGTCAAGAATTCTGTAGTTGTTTGACGGTGAAGAGGTTCATAGCCCATATTAATGAAAAACTCCCTAGCCTGATCAACAGGACCAAAGAAGATTTGACGACCTTCATATAGAACAGTGACTTTATCAAATAAATTATAAATGTTTTCTGAAGCTTGATAAATTGTAACAAATGAGGTTGATTTCATTAGATTTGTAGTAGTTCTAATAGCTTGTGTATATTCCAACGCAGTAGAAGAGTCCAACCCTCTTGTAGCGTTATCCCAACAATAAACAGCAGCACGGGTACACAAAGCTTCAGCAATGGAAACTCTTTTACGTTCACCACCTGAAACACCTGGAAAAACATCATTTCCAACTTTAGTATCATATGTATGTCTCAACCCGAAAACAGTGGCTAATAAATCAACCATAACTGTGATATAATCTTCTCTTGATAAATTATTTGGTCTTGTAGTTGGAGTTCTACAAGCTACTGCAAATCTCAAAGTTTGTTCAACGGTTAAATGAGGGAAATGTTGATCATGCTCAGGGTTATAGATCAAGTCTGACTTGAAGTTTTTAATCATTTCCTTTTGACCAATACCACCATAGATCAAATCACCTTCAGTGTCAACATAATGATGAGTTTCACCAGCAATTGTCTTTAAAAATGTGGAACAACCAGCACCAGGTCTACCTAATACTAAAATCATTTCACCAGAATTGACAAGCCCATTGATCCCTTTGATTAATTTTCTTGTTTTCGTCTTTTGAAGAAATCTAGCGGCCCAGTAAATGTGTCAAGCAAAGTTGGGGCAAATGCTATTGTAGAATCTTTACCAATTGTAGATAAGTTTTCAAAACTAACACCAGAAGATCTTAGTTTAAGACCACGTTGAGTAGTATCATTAACAAAAGCACTCAAGACACCATTGAATTCAAAGTCATTTGGATCAATTGAAGATGGAAAATTTTTATAATTTTTCTGTGAAAGTGGGTTTGATAAAGATTCCTCTTTAGATAGCGCCCTGCTTGAGTCATTGTTGGAAGTCACTTTAACTTCTTGTTCTTGCTTGTATTCTTTGCCATCAGCATAAGGCTTCTCTTCATAGCCATGGCTGTCACTAGATGAGTATGACATTTCCACAAAAAACCAACAATCAAACCAGCTTTATGATACTAATTTACCATCATGACTTCTAATTAAATGTACTGTGAAAAGCAGCAGCCCACTTGGATTTATAGCATAATTTCCAGTGATAAGAACATGACTGATGGTTATTGATAAGCTATAATTGGAGCAGCCTAACTTAATACTATCAATTTTAGTCTAAGAATTAGGGTCCTTATTTGTTTTGTTTTGGAAATTGATTCGCAGTGATAAATTTAAATTACGATTACGTTATCACTGAATTTGTATGGATTATGTAACGCACGCTCTCTATGTTATTAATCGGAAACCCCTTAACTTCTGGTATATAAATAATTAAAGTTCCCCTAGAATCCAGTTATCTTAATGGGGTACAAGCAATCTGGGACAACCTATAGATAGCTAATTGGATTGTAAAGTATGATATGTGAAGATCTATCGGGAAAGAATAATTCAATTCCAAAGTTTCTATGATACTTCAATTGCCAATCATTAATTGAGTTAAGATCTCTTTTTCAAAATCTAAATGATATAATTATTTTTTAACATATTCAACCAATGTTTGATTATCTTATTTTTTGAAGATGTAATTCAAAACAAAATTTCCAGTTCTTTAGCGTAACCCACATTTTTATACTTTCATAGTTGAATTGATCCTTTAGCAACAATTGATTAAAATGGATAAGGAAATTAAAGTAATGATCTTTTATTCAACAGTTGGTATTTTTGAATATTTGAATGTTACTTCTTATGTTTGTTTAACGACTGACCCAAATCTTCGACCATGAAATAATAAATCATTATAAAGTTCGTAAAAAAAAACCAACTGATTAAATTCCAATTCAAACCTTTGTTTCATATCTTGAATAATCTTAGCTTATTCTTCATCATCTGAATTCATTACTTTCATTAATTTCTTCATCAATTGGTTATAAGTAATTTCCTAGAATAATATTGTCATCTTAACGTCTGGATTAATTAATGGTCTAACATTATCACGATAATGGATAGAACTGCACCATTCATCATGAAGACTTTTGCATATAATATAATCATAACCAAATTTAACCCTAACTGTATGAAAAACGTGTATCTTTAGTACTTCTTTTAACCATTTTAAAGAATTCAACTTCAATATCAATATTCTATTGATGATTACCCAATCATTCCAGTAAGGCTTACCTAATCAGAACATTAAATCATAATTATTTAAAATCTTCACACAAAGGTCTATTGAATGACAGCTGATCTAGTACCCATTATAAATCCATTGACATGTTTGAGCACTATCATACCATGTAATCATTTCAGGTAGCTGATCGCTTCTGGTATCACATTTGTTTGGATAGAGATTGAACCACCAGTGTCTTCATAAATCTTTAATGATCACGTACCTTATGGAGCGACATACTTCATCACCAACAAACTTTTCAATCAGCTTCTATTGGGCATACTATGATGACTGATCATTTACCTTTCAATTAAACCTTGATGGATATTTTGAATACGCTTTTGTTGTTCATGTTTTGTTATGGTTTTCAAAATGATCAAGATTCGGTAATTCCACGACTTTGTTTCGCGAATACTTTGAAAGACGCGAAACGCGAGACTAATATTAATCATTTTGTTGACTGTGGTGGGTTGAAACTTGAAAGTACTTAATATAACTGGTTAAGACTGCTTCAAAGATTCACTGTTTCAAGAAAAATGGATGTTGATATTGGTTTTGATGATATTTTACGTGATTTCGAAAGAGATTCCCGTCCAAATGAGGCTAATATCACCAAGTTAAAAGAAGATGATATACAAGAATTAACACAAGCATGGATTTCAGAACGTATGTCACCAGAATTATTAGATTATAAAGATTCATTGATTGAAAGATTATTATCAAGAATAAGAGAACAAGTTGAATATATTGAATTGAACTCTATAGAACTACAGACACAAGAGAAAGATATCAAATTACAATTGATGATTATAGAATCAGAATTAGATCGTGTGAATTTTATACTGAGATCATATCTACGAACAAGGTTATCAAAAGTTAGTATAAAAAGGCTCTTGAATATTCTTTGATTAATTACTAACAATTATATAACAAAAGGTTGATGCATTTACGATTTATATTAGAAATGATGAGGATATAGTCAAAAGACTATCTGAACATGAAACTGCATATATGGAAAAACATTTCGCTTCATTAATTCAATTATATAATTCATTATTCCTTTCACAATTACCTCAACATTTACAGGCTTTAGATGATACAAGTGGTGGTCAATCAATGATTGAAGAACCAAATTTTCAAAAACCAGTTTTTCTAAAAGTTTTGGAAGATATACCGCAAAATATAGCTATTGGTGATGAAGAAATTGAACTAACAAAAGGTAATATTTATCTTATTAGATATTCTGCTATACAGAAATATGTACACTCTGGTGATGTTGCTCTTATATAGAAGAATGAATAAAAATCGCATTAATTTCAAATATAGTGAATTTCAAATTGTAACTGAAATTCTTGATATCGAGTACAAAAAGGAAAAAAAGATACGAAACTTCAATTCAAACACTAAAACCTGTATATGTATTACCTATTAATTAATTATATTTATAAATATTTAAATAAAAACCACTATAAAAAAGAAAACATTAAATTAAACAATATTTTCATTAGATTTAGATTCAACTGGAGCTTTAACTTCAGTTGATATTTTTGTTGATTTTTTTGTTGATTTCTTACCAAATGAAAATTTAGCATCATGTTGTAACCAATATAAAAACATCATTGAAGCAATATTGAAAATGATATAAACCCAAATCAATCCAAAATTTCTCCAATATTGAGAATATTTAATACCTCTAGTAGCAACATAAGCATCTTGAGAATCAAATTGACAATAACCACATTCATCTGTAGCATTTGGATCAACCAAATAACCACCTCTTGTTGACATGAAATCTGAAACATATTCACCACATGTTTGACCTTGTGGTGGTTGGAAATAAGCTAATTCATTCTTAGAACATTTAAGATCTTTGCCATGGACCAATGTTGATGTTAAACTTTGAATAACATATGTAATTGGTGAAACTTTATACATAAATGTCCAAAATCCTGGCATATTTGAAACTGGTTGTAAAACACCTGCAAATGCAAACATAAACACTGTAACAACTGAACTTAACAAAGCAGCTGATGGAACATTTGGTGAGAAGTAATATAAACCAATGGCAAAAGTTGAAATATAAATTTGATATATGATACATGACATCAAGTAATATTCACCAGCTAATTGTGAGTTTTGATAAACTCTTAATGGCCAATAAGAACAGAAGAAATAAATAGTAGAACCAACAATGTTATATGGAATTTCTGTCAAGATTTGTGAAAGCATCAAGACACTCCAATGGAATGTGTTACTCATCTTTTCTCTAGCTTCATAAACAACTCTTGATTTTTCAGATCTTTCTTGAATTTGATTCAACAATGGATTTGAGATAACAACAGCTAAAAACGCAACGAATAATGAATTTTGTGAACCAATTGTTGAATTTGGTAAGTTCCAAAAAGTAAACCCAATAAATAAACCACCAATTGTAAACAAACCAAATTTAGCTATAACATAACTTGGATCACGATAGAATTGTAAATTGGTTCTAAAGAGAACATGCTTCAATTGTGAAAACCATGAAGTTGAATAAGTTGAATGTAAAAATTTATCATCGCTTTCAGAGACAGTTTGATTTTTGGTTCTTTCAACACCTTCTCTTTGAATAACATCAACTTCATTAGCAGTTGCAATAAACTCTGGTGATTTTTCCCATTTTTCATACCAATCTTCATTAACAGCAGCAGTTGCACCGGCTCCAATAGCTTCTAAGATATATTCAGCTGGATTTTCATCTTCATCACAATGTCTACCACCATTACGTTCAAAATAGTTCAATAAAGTTTTTGATCTATCACCAATATCACCAAAGTAAACAGTTTGACCACCTTTCTTCAATAATAATAAACGATCAAATTGTTCAAACAAAGTAGATGAAGGTTGATGAATGGTACATAAGATAGCTTGACCAGCTTCTGCCAAATTTCTTAAAACTTGAATAACAGCCCATGATGATTGAGAATCTAAACCTGAAGAAGGTTCATCCAAGAATAATAATAATGATGGTTTAGCAACTAATTCAACACCAATTGATAATTTCTTACGTTGTTCAACATTTAACCCATTACCAATTTGACCAACAACAGCATCAGCATATAATTCCATATCCAAAATCTTGATAATTTTTTCAACATATTCTAATTTTTCAGAATCTGGAACATTTGCAGGTCTTCTTAATCTAGCAGCAAAAGTTAATGATTCTCTAACAGTCAATTCATCAAGATGTAAATCTTGTTGTTGAACATAACCAGTTCTCTTTTTGAAAGTACCATCAATTGGTGCACCATTAACCAACATATCACCAGTAATGACACCAGTATCAACTCTTTGAGATAAGACATTCAATAAAGTAGTTTTACCAGCACCTGATTCACCCATTAGTGCAACCAATTGACCTGGTTTGATATAACCTTGAACATTATTCAACAACTTTCTTTCAGATCCATCCTTTAATTTAATAGTATAATCCAAATTTTTCCAACTGAAAATATCTGAGGTACCTAAATCTTCATCTTGGAAATAATTTTTCTTGGAAGATCTAGTACGAACTAATTTATCTTCTGAAGATTTACCAGCTTTTGCTTCAATATCATCATCAGAAATTTCAGAAGACGAATCAGA